GGTTCAGAGATAGAGCTGGGACCACAAGGAGCAGAGCCTGAGCAAATCTCTCCACTGTCCTCTTCTCCCCGCCCCCTCCCTTCTTCTAACCACATCACCTCTGAGCATGAAAAAGGAGGCCTGTTCCCAGGGCTGTCTCCAGGGCTGCCATACCCTGGCACCAAAATTAATGGGCGTGATTTACAACAATCCCCAGATGTCCATCTTCTGCCACTCCTTCTGTGGGGGCGGGGAGGGAACCATTCCACATGGCTCAGTGGGACTCTGCTTCTCCCAGCCCTGAAGCCCCTGGAAGGGAAGGCCTAGTGGCCATGGCACGAGTGAGTTGGTGCCCACTCCAAGCTGATCTCCTGGTGTCTCTCCACCGCTTCATGTCCTTTACAAACCACCTCATTCTTAGGAGAGCTTTAAGCCAGTCTTCTGGTGTCTGACCATTTTACAGATGGGAAAATTGAAGGCCAAAGGAACCAAGCAGCTGCCCCGAGTTACCCAGTCTCTAACAAGAGTGGAAATGTCTTTACCTATTTGCCTAGTAACAGGGCTCCAATGTACAGCTCACTCACTGGATGCCCAACATAGAGTGGGCACTTCACAAACATTATAGCATTTCATTTAACCCATGTGACATATGAAGGTGGAGTCCTGGTGTGGCGCTGTGGGTTAATGCACCAGACTGCAAAGCCATTTGAACTGCAAGGTCAGTGGTTCAAGCTCACCAGCCACTCCTCTGAAACCCTATACAGGGTTGCTATGGGTCAGAACTGACTCTATGGCACTTAATATCAACAACCATAAACCTAGAAGGTAAAATCTATTATTATGCCCATTTTACAGATGAGGATACTGAGGCTCAGAGAGGCAATGTGATCTCCTAAGGCCATTCAGTTTGTATGAAGTGGAGTTGGAACTTAAACCCAGGATATCTGACTCCAAAGTCTATGCCCAGGGTTGCCCTGTCTTCTGAGCCCACCTCTAGAAAGCCACCAGACTCTGCAATGCAGGGTAACTAGGGGTGGAACTGGCCCCTGGTGTGAGGGGGGAAAGGTAGGCAGGAGACCAGAAGCACCACTTGGAAAGGAATTAGGGGCAGTCTATCGTAGCGAATACAAAAACTCTGTCTTGATAACATACTTCATTCGAATCATAAAGCAAACCTGGTCCCTCTGGATTTTGCTGTCCTCTCCCTGATTCCTGTGTGTTTCTCCAGCCCAGAAGGTCAGCTCTGAGCTCAGACTCACCTGTCTTGGATCCTTCTCCATCTCCATCCTGGTCCTCAGCTCCTAGGAGATTAGAAATCTGAGTGAACATCCTTTTTAGCCCCATTTCCATTGCTGCACTTCCCACTGGGAAGTGCAGGTTATGGGGCTGAGCAGGCTTGAACTATGCAGACCAAATGCTGGCCACAGAGTCAGAGCCAGAGACCAGCACAGAGCAGAGCCTTGTGACAGGATGAAAGGGCGCCCAGTCTGGAGTTCACCACCCATCTAGTCAAGAACCCTTACCCACCCCTCCACCAACTCATCAACCTATCCATCCATACACCGATCCAGCCAACCACCACCTGTAACATATACACCCATCCATGGAGCTAGCCTCCCATCCTTCCCTGGCCTACCCAGCTGCCCAGTAACCAACCTCTTCTCCATTCACAAGCACGCCTTCTTCCTAACAGGTGGTCCTCTTTCTGCCTCTGACGACCCATCTGCTCTCATGTGTCTGTTTCCCCATCTACCACCCACCAGTGCCCAGCAGCACCAGTTCACTCAGTCACCTACCAAGGCCACCTCACTATCTACCAATGTCAACCACCCATCTACCAATTGCCAAAGTCAAGTCATACTGATGTGTAGCCCAGCAAAGTCATCTGCTTCAGAGTCTACCCATAAAGACACACTTCCACACAGGGACCCAACTCACTGAGACGGTCACACTTCCACACGGGGACCCAAATCACTGAGACGATCACACTTCCACGCAGGGACCCAACTCACTGAGACAGTCACACTTACACACAGGGACCCAGCTCACTGAGACAGTCACACTTCCACGTGGCAACACAAATCACTGAGATGGTCACACTTCTACACAACAACACAACTCACCGAGACAGTCACAGTTGTGTTGCTCCATGTGTATGTTCTAAACCTGCTCTCGATGTCCAAACACACTAAGGTTCACTGATTTACACTCTCATTCGCAGACACATTCGTCCCCTTGGTGCACTTCAGCGAACACATCTACACACGCACAGCCGTGTTCATCCTGCTATATTTGCACACTGACAGGCTCACACTTGCGTGCCCTGCCTCAAGACAGCTTCAAAGTCACACACATCTGCAACCCAGCCCAATCTGAATATCTACACCCATTCTACCATTTCCAACACACTTACATCGGACCAGCCCAGGAAAAGGACATCACGCTTGGTAGAGGGTCAGTGAGAAAGAGAAAGTCCCTCAGTGAGCTGGACTGACACCGTGGCAGCCACAAAGAGCTCCAACATAACACGTGTCAGGAAGTCACAGGGCCAAGCAGTGTCTTGCTCTGTTGTACACCGGATGGCTATAAGTTGGCAATGACTCGATGACACCTAACAACAGCAGTCTGTTAATGTCACAGGCACACGCAGACACACCTTTGTCGCACTCACCTGCATTCTCCTCCTCACAGCTCTGTTTGATCTTCCTCCAGCACACAAAGGCCAGGGCCACCAGCAGTGCCACGAGACAGACGGAGAGCCCCACCGTCACCCACAGAGCCTCAGGGGGAAATACCATGGGCTGTCCTGGGAAGGGATGTGGGGAGAATGGGGAGGGACTATCATGCCTGTCCTTCATTGACCTGAGGCAGTCCCCAGCACTGTGAACACACTCACAGACATTCCCAGCACCATTTCCCACTCACCCAGATACCTTCAAAACCTAGACATGGCCAGGGCTGATGTGGACATGCTCCAACCTGGGAAGGCTGAAGGGTCTGCAGTTGAAGGATGCTCAAGAACATTCTATGGGTCCCCACTAATGTGACAGCAGAAGCAGAGGAGGGAGGATAGCAAGTGACCTGGGTGGCCAGCAGCCCATATAAGAAACCCCCAGAGTCCCAGGATGGGGTTCCTTCAGTGGGGAAGGGAGTAGGGCCGTATCAATTACCAAGGGACTTATTTCTATGTTCACCCCCAGGCTGGTGTCAGTGCCTAGAACAAAGGTCAGACTTGACCCCACTCAGCCAGCAAAGGCCAGAGTGGGCTCAGCCCATGTCGTCAGGTTCCAAACCGAGGACTCACTCTATGTAGAGACCATACAGAATAGTCAGCTGTGGGAAGACCAGGACACGTGCCTCAAAGTCTGAATCCCAGAATGTTTTACAAGGCACAAAGCTCCCCAAAGCAAAATGCAGGCCAAGGACTCCAAAGTAGGCCAGATCTGCCCTAACGAAAACAGGAGGCAGGCTGGTGGGGAGGACAGGAAATTAGGCCGAGAGGCCAGACTTGGATTCTGAACTTGGTTCATCTTCTCAGTGCCAGGTACCGGCGTCAGGGTTCACAGACACACACCCCCACCCCCACCACGGAGGGCTTAGGGGACCAGGAACCCTCAAAACTAGTATATGCTGTTGTAATGGTCTGGGGAGAAGGTCCTTATCATGTAACCAATTTTCAAAGATCCCCGTCCCCAAAGGTTTCAGAGCCATGGTGGTCATTCTGTGGTCTGGGGAAATCTTCACTCTGAACCTCGGTTCCCTCGTCTATAAAAAGCACTTGGCAACACAGACCTCAGTGAAAGTAATTGTCAGAATTCTAAAAGTCATATAAATGCAAACAGCAATGATTCTTTGCTTAAGGGTTTTATCAAAACGCTAGCTGCTCAAGCAACTTAGACTCTTCTCTTAGGTGAAATGCATTTGCGTTGCAATCCTCTTTATATACTTACGGAACGTCCTGCTCACAAGTTCACTGTGCAAACGATCACGAAGCCCACCTATCCTTCCAGGTTCCTCCCAACTCATACATGCCCCTAGTGGCTCTTTCAGGCCACTTCCTACTAGCCCTCTCCTTGCCTGCAAGCTTCTTGTGGTTCCGTCTTCACAGTCTAGCCTGGGTCCTTGATTGTTTCCTATGAACACAGCGTTTCACCACCAGACCATGTGGGCTGTCTAAAGGGCCAAGGAGACTTCCCAGAGCCTCAGAGATCAAGAACCCGGGGAGTCTCCAGGAAGGGGATGGCTTTAATCTTGGGGAGGTGGTTAGCAGAGAGAACACAGCCTGGCTAGAGAGAAAACACCCAGAATACAAGGAAAACTGAAATGAACTAGAAGACAAGAGTAGGAAGCATTGGCTCTGGGTTTGTGAGGGTTCATTCAAGGGGGAGAAACAAAAACAAGCCAATATCCTACAGAAACAGGGACCACAACAGACCTGGATGGAATGGGCATATGGGTAAAAGCCATGGGAAGAGAAAAGAGGAAAATCAGACAGACAGAACCCTGAGTGGCCAATGGGAGAGCTCGGCTGGTCCCGGGACAGGGACTAGGGACCAGGCTGAATGAGCAAGCCTGGGGAAGGTCAGACATTGATGGAGACTTCCTCCCTAGTCCTGACTGTGGACCTGAATCTGCACAGCCCCAGGCATAAAGGGGAGCCCCCTGAAATGTACACTTTTAAGGGAAGGGTTGAGGAAAGAGCCAAGTAGGTGACCTCCATCTAGTATTTGGAGTCAAGGAGCTGTAGGATAAGCACTGGACTGTTAACCCCAAGGTCAGCCCTTCCAATTTACCAGTACTACCCTATGTCGGAAACCCTGTACAGGGTCGCTATGAGTCGGAACCGACTCGACGGCACTTAACAACAACAACAACAACAACCCTATGTAGGGTTGCTATGATGGCATTTAACAAAAGAACAGTCCAGCACTTAGCCACAGGGGGGCAGCAGAGACAGCTGCAGCTATTATTCCAACTGCTGCTAGGATGGAACTCACTTTCCCGAAGAAGAGCTGATAAAGGCCCAGGTGAGGTGTCTGGGCGCTTGCAGAACTCAAGGCTTCAGCATCAAATAGTGCCCACCGATAGAACAATATCTTCCCATCCCCTGGAAAGACGACTGTGGCATGTCTCTCCATCACCATAGCCCCAGGCCGCCTCGAGGCTGCCTCAGAACTGGGCCCAGGCCTCCAAGGAGCTCTGGTAGCGTAGTGGTTACGAATCGGGCTGCGAACCTTAAGGTTAGCGGTTTGAAACTACCAGCCGCTCCGCGGGAGAAAGATGAGGCTTTCTACTCCCGTAAAGATTTACACCCTCGGAAACCCTGTACAGGGTCGCTATGGGTCGGAACCGACTCGACGGCACTTAACAACAACAACAACAACTCTCTCCTCTTTAGAAGAACCACAAGTATCACCAGAGGTGCTCTTAGGAAAGAAACAATTATACATTATTCGTATCACCTCATTAAAGTCCCTTAAGGACTTCTTGTTGGGAGAGCCTGAATCACCTGGAAGTGATTTTCTAAGTCTTTTTGACTGCCGAAGATCTGATCTTGGAAAATAAAAAAATGCACCCTTCCTTGCTCTCTCTCCATCACAAGGCTCACCTGTGATAGTGACGGAACCGTGGGCGTCTTGATGCAGCACGGGGTTGCGCACCAGGCAGCTGTAGGTGCCGTTGGCACCCAGTACCACCTTCAGCACGCTGCGTACGTCAAACAAGCCCTGCTCGTTGGCCATTTGCGATGTGGTCACATTGATGGTCAAGGGCGCACCCTGCCCGTCCTGCCAGAACACCTCGGCCTCGGGATAACCCCGATAGCTGGAGCATGTGATGATCACCGTGTCTCCAGGCCGCAGGTCCTTGTTGGGTTCCAGGGTCATACTGGGCTTCGAGTAGGGGGCTGAAAGGGGAAAGAAGGCAGGGGTCAGGGTTGGGCAAGGGGCAGGCGAGGCGCAGTGAAGGAAAGGGGTTCTTGGGCATGTGTGCAGGCCTCAGCACTGGGTTTTGGATCTGGGGTCAGTGGTGGGCAGTGGTCAGAGACTGTGGACATATGAAGGGTGTGTAAGAGCAAGCACTCCCTGCCTGCCCGCGCTCACCTGCCACCTGCAGGCTGACCGCGGCACTGCCAAAGTCCTGGATGCTCACGAAGCAGGTGAAACTGCCCTCATCTGCCACGCGCACGCGCTGGAGCCTCAGGGACGCGTTGCCCTTAGCCAGCTGGTCCGGGAAGAGTGCGGTGCGGTTGGCATAGGCACTGCCTTGGTCGCGGCCATCAGAGAAGCTGTGCACCAGCTGTTTGGTGTCTGTCAACTGCCAGATGAGGTTAAGCTCCGCCAGGCTAAAGTCGGGCTCGGGCGAGAAGGAGCAGCGCAGAGTGGCGTCTGTGCCCACCAGGGCCACTACGGGGTCTTCAGGGACCTGGACCTCTACGGAGCCTGGGGGCGGGAATGGAGGGGAGGGGAGGTGAGGAGGAGTGGAGACACTCCCCGGTCCTGCCCAGGTCTGTCTACTCCACCTTTTAGGCCTGAGACCCAAAAGTAAGTGTCTGCGGCTCGCATTTGATCATTCTTTCAAGGAGACCAGATGGGCAAAGAGCACCTACTATTTGCCTAAGAGATTTCGAAATGCAACAGAGAACAAGCCAAGGTTAAGCCTCTATAGCGTTTACACTTTAACGGGAGAAAGGGGCAAACTAGCACCCAAAATTCCATTACTGTAAGACTGGTGCATAAGATCAGTACTGGACTGCGAAGCACAAGGTCAGCGGTTCAAACCCATCAGCTGCTCCTTGGAAACGGTATACAGGGTCAGAACTAACTTGAAGCCACTTAACAACAAATACATGCTTAGGGGTAAGAAGGGAGAAAACAAATAGATTAGAGAATAGGGTTGCAGCTTTCTTTAAAATCCGGTGGATACAGTTGTCTATGTTTCTTGCAATTTCCCCACAAGTATGTATTATTTTTATAAATTGGGAAGAGGGGAAGTTCTAGAGAAGTAGATATCAAATTTTTGTTTCTGTATAACAGAAGGTTATAAGTACTCTAAAAAAAATTATTTATTGTGCTTTGTTTTCCTAAATATAAATGTCTTTATTGGGGAGAAAAGAAACAGACCTACTTTAAATACAGCTATCAGGAACACTCTTTCTAAAGACATGACGTTAAACAAGATTTAAAGAGGATGAAAAAGACACACAAAGAACCAGGAAAAGAGTTCCTGGCCGAGGGCACAGGCAGCCTTGCGGCACAGAGATGTCCAATGTGGCTAAACAGCAGGATGCAAGGGCCTGGTGAAACCAGGTAGGGAGTTTAGGTTTCATTCTGCATGCCCAGGGGGCTCAATCAGCCATAAGCTGGGGGGTGGTGGTGGTGGTGGTGGTTATGTGCCACCAAGTTGTTCAGACTCATATGAACCCTGTATAGAGTTTCCAAAGTGGTAAATTTTTACAGGAGCAGAAAGCCTCATCTTTCTCCCTCAGAGTGACTGGTAAATTCAAACGCTGACTTTGCGGTTAGCCGTCCAACTAGCAACCCACTACACTATATGTTGAATAACAACCCTTGAAACATATGTGACTTGTCTGTGGAGATCCCAGAGCTGGAATCCCCAGAGAAAAACCTCCTCCCACCCTGGCTAGGATCCCCTGCCCCAGCCCTGCACTCTGTCCTGTACACCTGCCCTACAGCCTCCCTGCCCAGTCACTTCGCCTCCAGCCCAGCTCTTTTTTTAGAGCCCTAGAAACTGGAAAGTTGGGCAGGTCTTAGGTAACAATCAGACAAAATGTGTGCTTTAGAAACCCACCAGGAAAGCTGGCACACTCAAGAAGTAAGAATGGCCAACAGTCTTGAAAAAAAAGGCCAGGTGACTACGGCACCTATGAAAGTTTTTTCCAGTTAGAAAACCAAAGCTTTTAACTTTATATTTAGGATTTTGATGGGGAATTGCACACAAGATCATAATCTTTGCAGTATATGAGGGTCTGCAGGGGGCACTGGCTCTCTTGCTGAAATTCCAGCTGCTTCAGGTTAGACAACTGGAGCAGGGTGTCCCCTTTCATTGGGACTCGGGGATAAAACCTGGAGTGGCACCAGTCATGTTCCCAGGGGATAGAGCGGGTGCTGACTGCATCAAGTAACATTGTTAGAGGGTGACACCAAAATCGCTACGCATTTTGTGCAGTTGGTGCTTGAGAAATGCTGGCAGGCCTGGGCAGACATGGAGCTGGGCCCGATGCTACTGCAGGAGGTGGCCATGGGGCTGGCTCTGCAGGCTTCAAAGCCCCTGCCCACCCACCCTCGACTGGGGCACATACAGCGCAGGACCACCTAAAGGTGGTAGTGCCAGGGGCCCGGCTGGACTTCGTAAGGTCTGGTATTCGAGGAGGTCCATGAAGGAGAGGGGAGGTGACATCATGAGTAACCACACTGGGTGACACCAACTCTAGCGACACCAGTCTGAGACAGCAGGGATAGAGACGTCCAGTACCGCATCACCCCTTTGTGGCCACAAGATGGCGCCAGACACTCAGCTTTGTCTTCCCCATGGATGAAGAACCCAGACTTTCCCTTAGAGCAAAGGTGTTGAGATTATTATGGGGAGGACTTTATTATTAAAGTAGCTAGGAGCCCTGCTGTGGTACTGTGGGTAATTTGCTGAGCTACAAGGTTGGTTTGAACCTCAAGGTTGGCAGTTTAAGCTCACCAGTCACTCCTTGGAAACCCTATACAGGGTCGCTATGAGTTGGAACTTTCCACTCGGCGGCACTTAACAACAACAATATAATTGAGTACTTCGTATGGGCCAAGCACTGTGAGGGATGACCTACATCACTTATTTACCATGGTTATTCTAACGGAGTCCTTGTCTAGTGCTGCAGGATAATGCACTGGAGGACCACAAGGTTGGTTTGAATCACAAGGTCAGTGGTTCAAACTCACCAGGCGCTCCTCAGAAACCCTATACAGGATCGCTATGAATCGGAACCAACTCCATGGTACTTAACATTAGCAACAACAGTCTGAGGATAGACCCTGCTTTCTGAGTCAGGCAATTAGCAAGTGATCCCAATGCCAGGTAGAAGGATATGCTAGGAAGACTGAAATAAGGTCTGGGGTAGGGATGCCTGGAGGATGAAGTTCTGTTTGATACAAGGTGGCCAGGAAAGCCTTGCTAATAAGCAGGTGGCATTTGTTCAGAGATGTGAACAAAGTAAGCGGCCAAGTCCTGCAGCTATCTGAGGACAGAAAGTTCCAGGACGAAGGAAGAGTAGGTGCAAAGGCCCTGAGGAGGGAGCATCATCACATTTAATGCTCACAATCCCACAGAGTGGGGCTGTATCACGGCTGTTGTTAGATGCTGTTAAGTCAGCTCCCACTTACGGTGAGGCCATGCACAGTAGAACAAAATGCTGCCTGGCCGCCTTCATGATCAGCTGGGATCCATGCAGTTTGGGGAAGATCTCTAGGTCTTTCCTCCTAGTCTGACACATGAGTGGTGTATAAGGAGCTCTGGTGTCCCATATGGAAAGTGTGAATTCTACCACTGAACTATCATGGCCTCACGTGATTACCATTTTATAATAGAGGAAGCTGAGGCCAAGAAAGGTCAAGTAGGTTCCCAGTGGATCCCAGAGACGGAAATGAGTGTGGACAGGGCATAGGCCCCAGCCCTGGTAGATAGACCCGGCTTGGTAGGATCCAGGGTGGGAGCGGAAGCCCTCCTCACTCCCCACCATGGTCACTGTTCCTCCCTTCCCCAGCCATTCCCCTCACCTGTGAGGCAGAACCACAGCATTCCCAGGGCCACAGCTACACACGCTCCCCTGCCAGGGCTGCCCAGCTGATGCCACATCTTCCCGTGAGGCAGCTGACAGATGGGATCTCGGTGGTGGAAAGCTGCCTAGGCCTGTGAGGAAGAGGAAGTGAGGCCTTTGTCTCAAAAGGTCCTCCCCAGGCCCTCTTACCTCATCTCCCCTGGAACCAGCTGGAGGAAGGCTGCAACTGCCCACTGGGAATCCTCCCTCTCTCCCTCCTTCAGGTCTCCCACACCCCACAAGGCTGCCTGCTGGGGGCGCTTTATGGGAGATGCTGGCAGGAGGCAGTTGAGTTCTTGGGGAGGCTGGGTCTCAGGAGGTAGAGAAGGCACAACTGGGATCCACCCTTTCAGCCTGATGCTGTTGGCATATAAATACAAGGAAGAGGAAGCAAGAAGGCAAATAAAGGCAAGGTTGGCAAGTTCAAGGCCTGCTTGGAGGAGGGGGGGTCATGCACAGGTCAATGGAGCTGGAACAACAGTGGGTAGGAGCCAGACTTAGAGACAGGCTAAAGAGTCTAAGCTTTATACTGAAGGCAGCTGGGAGCCACTTGAGCAGGGGAAATTATATGGTCAGATGCATCCTTGTAAAGATAACTGGCAACATCTTCGGGATAAATGAAAAGGTTTAACAGAACAGATGAGGCAGGCCTGGGAAAAGTACCAGCATCTGGGGACACGGAGCAAGAGACAGCTGGACAGAATGGGAGAAAATGTGGTGTTCATGATTTTGAGTCTCAGTGACCAAGTAGTGCCTTCCCTGAGTCAAAAAAAACATAAGAGTTCAGTGTTGTTGTTGTTATGTACCAACTCATAGCAACCCTATGTATGCACAATAGAACAAAACACTGCCCGGTCCTGGACCAACCTCACAATTGTTGCTATGCCTGAGCCCATCACTACAGGCACTGTGTCATTGTTGCGGGGGGGTCTTCTTCTTTTTTTCTGACCCTCCACCTTATCAAACATGATATCCTTCTCCAGTGACTGGTCCCTCCTGACACTATGTCTGACATATGAGAGATGAAGTCTAGCCACCCTGGCTTCCAAGGCGCACTCTGGCAGTGTACAGTGTGTGAAGTTAGCATATTTGTGTAGAAACATTGAAGGAAAAGTTCTCGGGACTCCAGCGAGAGAAGACATTTTTAGCTTAATACAAGACCAGTCAGAACAGGGATGTCCTTTGTCACCACTTCTAGCCAATACTGTACTGGAAGTCCTAGCCAAAGCAATAAGGCAAGAAAGGCAAATAAAAAGCATCCAAATTGGCAAAGAAAAAGTAAAACACTCTCTATTTGCAGATGATATGATCCTATACATAGATAATCCCAGAGACTCAATAACAACAACAAAAAACTACTGGACCCAACAAACAGATTCAGTGAAGTGACAGGGTTTAAGATCATCATATAAAAATCAGTCCAATGCCACTACGCTAACAAAGAGAACTCTGAAATGGAAATCAGGAAAACAACATCATTTACAATTGCCACCCAAAAGATGAAATACTTAGGAATAAATCTAGCCAGAGATACAAAAGATCTACACAAAGAAAACTACAAAACAGTACTCCAAGAAACCAAGAGGCCTACCTACATAAATGGAAGAATACACCCATGAATAGGAAGACTTAACCTAGTGAAAAGGTCTATACCACCTAAAGTAAGCTATCGATATAAAGCAATCCCAACTGACATTCCATCAACATTCTTTAAAGAGATGGAAAAACGAATCACAAACTTTATATGGAAAGGAAAGAGACCCTGGATAAGCAAAGCACTGCTAAAGAAAAAGAACAAAGTCAGAGGCCTCATACTCCCCATTCTCAAAACCTACTATGCACCATAGTAGCTAAAACAACCTAGTATTGGTACAATGCCTGACACATAGACTAATGGAACAGAATTAAGAACCCAGAGTATATCCATCTACCTATGGATACCTGATCTTCAATAAAGAGCTGTTGTTGTTAAGTGCCATTAAAGTTGGTTCCGACCCATAGGGACCCTTATAGAGTTTCTGAGGAGCAGCTGGTGAGCTTGAACTGCTGACCTTGCAGTTCAAACTGACTTTTCAGTCCAGAGCATTAACCTACAGCGCCACACCAGGATTCCATTAAATGTGGAAAAGACAATCGCTTTAACAAATGATGCTGACAAAATTGGATATCCATTTGCAGAAAATGAAACAAGATCCATATAAACTAACTCAAGATGGATCAAAGACCTAAATAAATGTAAAGTCTAAAATCATAAAGAACAAATAGGGGCAAACTTATGGGTCCCAAGACATGGCATAAATACCCTATCAAATCTAACAAAAAATGTACAAAGAAGACAAAAGAGCTGACTGGGATCTCCCAGAAATTAAACATTTATGTGTACCAAAAGACTTCACAAAGAGAGTAAAAAAAGAATCTACAGACTGGGAAAAAAATTTCTGGCAACAACACAGCTGACAAAACACTGTTGTTAAGTGCCATAGAGTTGGTTCCGATCCACCGCTACGCTTTATAGGGTTTCTGAGGAGAGACTGGTGAGTTTGAACTGCCAACTTGAGGCAGTTCAAACAGACCTCGTGGTTGAGCACTTATCCTACAGTGCCACACCAGGACTCTGAAAAGGATTAATTAATCTCTAAAATTTAAAGAAAACTTCAATACCTCTAAAACAAGAAAACAATCCAATTGCTAAATTAGTAGAAGACATGAGCAGACACTTCACCAAAGAAGGCATTCAGGAAGCCAACAAATACAGGAAAAAACAGTCAAGGTCATTAGCTATTAGAAAGATGCAAGTCAAAACAACAATGAGATTATCATCTCACTTCAGCATTGACAGAAAAATTTAAAAAGCAAAACAGAAAACAAATGCTGGTGTTGGTGAAGGGAAGCTGGGACCCTGGTGCACTGCTGATGGAACCATAAAATGGCATAACCATGTGGAAACAGCATGGCATTACTTCTTTTCCTTAAGTTTTTATTATAAACTGAGTGATAGTTTACATAGGAGAACATCGGCTCTACACCATGGTTTCATTGTAATGATCACACTCTCCTCCATGCATCATCATTCAACAGTATTTGCTTCCATTCCCTGTTTTGTTGTTTGGAGGTTTTTTGGGGGAAGGGGGGAGGGATGTACACAGAAACACTCAGGAATATATAATAATTTAAACAACCAAAGGGCACATTCTGCAAGCCTGCCTCCTGGCCGCCAGCACCCAGTCCCTCTCTTTCCATGAGTCTAGAGTCCTCAGCCGCTCCCTCTCTCCATGTCTCCATCTCTGCCTCCATCTCCTGTGTTGCTGCTTCTCTGGATAGGATCCCACATTCTGCTTGTGCTCATTTGTCTCTCTTGATGATCCTAGGGTCCTCTGTTCTGTACTGTAGGATTAATTACTCCCCCGTTTTTGTTACAAAACTTCTACCTTTACAGTTGTGACAGTTGCAATTAGTCATGGTAACAATTTCTCACTACTGAATCATAAGAAACTTATCCCCATCTCTTTCACCAGACCCGTCTAGACAAGATGAAAATTATTCAGTGGGGACTCTACCCTCCCTCACACACTCTTAAACTAAACTTCCTTTTGAAAACTTGTAAGTCAATTACTTCGTGCCTTTATTGCCCACTCATTTTAGGTAGCCAATGTTTAAGTTGCCCATCCATACCTATCCTGTATACAGAGGGGATAGCATTGATACTTGGTGTGAAGATTCCTTCCCTCTCAGTTGGTATTGTGAGCTACTACATCCATAAGTACAGGTCAAGTTCATCAAATTGTAGCAATTTACACTCGTGTCCTTTATCAAATATTGTTTGTTTTTTCATCTTCCTCTAGTCCAGTTCTGATTGTCAAGCCATCGAGGCTAAGCCAAATGAGTACTATTTGCAAGTTTGGGCATGCATGGCATTGCTTCTTAAAGTTGGAAATAGAAATAACCATATGATCCAGCAATCCCACTCCTAGGTATATATCCAGATATATGTTCGCCTATGTGTACTGCATTATTCACAATAGTCAAAAAGATGGGATCAGCCTAAGAACCCATCAGCGGATGCAGAGATAAACTACGGTACATACACATAATGGAATACAAAGCAACGTTAAAGAATATTGATAAATCTGCAGAACACCTCACAACATAAATGAACCTGAACTTAGTCAATCACAAAAGGACAAATATTGTATGAGATCACTTCTATAAAAAGTCAAGAAATGGTTTACTCACAGAAAAACACATTCTTTGTGGGTTCCCACTGGTGGGAGGGGAAAGGAAGGAGCAAACATTAACTAGAGGGTAGACACAAGAACTTGGGTGAAGGGAAGGGTAAAAGAGGCCCCCACACAAAAGGATTAAGGCAAAGGAAGACACCGGGAGGAGCACAAGAGCTCAAGACAACAAAGCCAACGGTTGTTGCTACAATAACAGTAAAACAGTCTGAGTTGATACTCTTGAGAGTTGGTACAAAGACACACAGCTGAATCGGAATGGGAAGGTGAATGGGTCTATGCCCATGAACAAAGGGGCTTTTAAAAGTTCATGGGCAAATGGAATTGTTCCATGAACTTTTTGAAGTCCCCTCTTATATAGGTTTGACAGGGGATGTTTCTGCATATGTATTCATGTTGTTAAGTGCTGTTGAGTTGGTCCCAACTCATAGGAACCATGTATAATAGTTCCAAGGCTGTAAATCTTTGTGGAAGCAGAATGATTCATCTTTCTCCCACAGAGCGGCTGGTGGGCTCGAACACTGTGATTCACAGTCCAGCTCAGCACATTATCCAACATCACCACACCAAGACTCTCGATAGATGATAGATAGATAGATAGATAGATAGATAGATAGATAGATAGATAGATAGATAGATAGA